AAGTTTGTTATTATTTTTGTGTTTGGTAAAATGTTATCATTGAAAGCATTAAATGATAATATGTTAAGTGAGTTTCATGTAAGTTTGTTAACAAAAACAATAATTTGTGAATAACTCATGAGTTAATCAAGTTGAGCTTATCTTAACATTGACTTTGATATAAAAAGAGAAAAAGTTTGAGCCCAAGCTTACATGCCTATTTGCAAACTATTCTTAAATACTCGGTTTAAAATTAAAAATTATATTATATAGAAAAAAGTTTTTGTTAGCTAACCTTCTATGAAAAATGTTATAAAATTATGTTATTTAAATAAATTTTTATTATGAAAACAAATTAACCTATTTTTAAATTTTAAACGAATTTGTTTTAGTATATTTCTATGGTATTTTAATAAAATTATAAAATTTTATGGTGTTTTTTTTCTTAATTTTCTTTAGATTCGACTAATAAACATTAATATCCTATATATATTTATTATAAGTGAAATATATAATAACAAATAAATTTAATCACACTGAAAAAATAACTTAAATAAATTACATATTTTGAGCATTTTAGAACTTTTAATATATGTTCAAATAGAGTTTATGATTATTTTTTGATGTTTAACTTAATGCTTTTGTTTAAGATTTTGATATTAAATATTAATAAAAAAATGTAAAAAAGCCTATAATTAAATGATTGATTATTGAAATCATTTGAAATTATATATATATATATATATAAGCTTGAATTCAAGCTCAAGTATTGACTTGCTTGAATACTCCAGCTTGCAATCAAGTTTAAACTTCTTAGAATACTTATGAATTTAGGCACAACCTCAACTATTTTTTAGTTAGATATATACTCAAGCTTAACTCCAATTCAAGTTTTTAAAATCCAGCTACAACACAAGTACTTAATTAAGGGCTCCCCTTGTTAGAGAACAGAGACCCTTAAATATATAGTGGTTGTAGTTATTGCCACCCACATGCTTGTCAACATCACCCAATTTCATTGATATTTTGCTTTATTTATTTTAAAATAATTTTTTTTGAATTTGTTTTAAATTATTATCTTTTTTTTTAATTTTTAAATATAGATTAAGACTCTAATTTTTTAAAAATTAAATTTAATATACACTATTTTCATATATTTTTATTATCAAAAAATTATAGTTATTACCAATAAACATTCTTAACAAAAAAAGGAAAATCATTTTCCAACTTAAGTTGAATCCAAGGCTTGATTCATCTTGCAATCTAAAAATGTACTTCCCTAATATTTCATCACAAAACAGTAATTTAGTAATGATATATTTTTTTGAATTGAATGGGATTTTGTGAAGAATTTTGGTATTGTTTTAATTTATTAATAAAATTAAGGCAATTATGATGTAAGCAGTGACATGGGCAATGACAATGACAGTTCGGAGTGATTCACGGTTTTGATGTTACCCCTTGTTTGTATTTTGTACGACCTTTTGCGGTGGACTGCCAGTTGAACCAAAAACACTTGGGGATTGCATTTACACCAGAATTTCAAATTATTCACAATGAAAAGAAGCGCTCGTAAATCTCTTTTTTAATCATTTTTCTAATGGAAAAATCTGTGTCTTGCATATTGTAAATTTTATAATTATTAATAAAAATAAATTTTTGTATTAAGATAATTTTTTATTAATGATTATA